AAGGTCTCCTACCCCAGTGCCCTTGTTCTTGGGACTAGAAGTCATCTGTGGGATGACTGAATTGTCAGTCACTCATGCATTTAGTGTTTCAGCAGTACCAATACAACAACCTGAGCCCGGTCTGCTGTGTAATACAAAGGAATTCATTCAGTATGTTTTTCAATCAGAAATACAACATCAGCAGAGTTTCATTCCTGTTTAGGTGCTGAAACATAAAAGACAGAAAACTAGAGAAGAATTTTTCATTCAGATTTCCTAATAGGCACTGATTATTTTACCAGTTTCTATGGCACTATCACCATGGCAGCTAGCCATTTTAATCAAAGGCATTTGAACACATTTTTGATAACATCACAGTATTACATCTCCTGGGCACACAGAGCAGTAACCACTTTGTACATTTCCATAGGACAGAGGCCACTAATGTCAGCAGACATCAGGATTAGAAATGTGATATTTCAAGCATCTAATTAAAGAACAAGTTCTCAGTGTTCCTTACTCTAATTCCGAAAACAATAGTGGAAATATAACCATTGTGACCAAAATGAGAATCAAAATTCTTCTACAGCTTGCCCAGTTCCTACATGGGTTTTGCCCCATCTTTGGTTAACTACTCAATGCAAATGATTACTCAGCAGATCATAAGAGAATGTGCAAGTGAAAAAAAAAATCACTGTAGAGAACTGAGTATCTGCAAAGCACTGACAGATAAAAATAGCTATGTTACCCTTTGTACAAAACCCCCATACTTTGTTCTGTGTACAGGCTAAATTGAAGCATTGCATACAAGACTGAAATCGTGAGTAGAGAGCAGCAAATCTCAGGGTTCTGACCAAAGGAATTTTCAATGTAGAACAGGAAGCATTCTAATTTTACAAAATATATTGTGAAGCATTTGCAAATATGCTCAGCCTGGAAAATGTCCTGCAAGTATTGAAAAATACTTCCAGCAACACCAATCCTTCATGTTGTCTGTAAAACACATAAGAAAATAATTTCTCAAACTAACTTAGAGCAAATTCATACTTTTGTCCTGATATTTCTGGTTTGGTTTTTTTTACTGAAAGCATATTTCAAAAGGCTGAGTTACTCTAAATAAATGGATTTATAAACCCTTTTAATAAAAGCTAGTAAGCAAGCTAAACAAATTCTTTGTTTCAAGCCTAAAGCTTTTCAAAAGCTCCATCCAAGAGATATTAAATAAATACAGATAATGTCAATAATGCAGATAATGTCAATACAGATATTGTATTGATATCTCTATTGTGTCAATACAGATAATGTCAACAATCCACAGTAAAACACTACAGCAAAGCACTATAGCTAAAAATCACTGGTATAACAGCATCCTAAAACAGACAACACCAACCTCAAATAGAGGAACAAGTAACTTAAGTAAACTGAGAATGAGACTCTAAATACATCACAATTAGCTTTGTCTTTTCAAACTGCTTAAACTCAGAAATAATCACGAAAACAGTGATGTTAGGAGAACAATATGAAAACAGAACAGTAAGTCAAGTCTTTCATACCTCCAGTACCTCCACGCTTGTCAGATTTACAGTTTTTCCTTCCTTGGGTCAGTAGTTGGGGAAAGACAACAAAAAAAGGTCTAGAAAATATTTGACAGTGAGTGTGTTGCACTGTTACATTTACATGTATATACTAATTAATCTGCCCTTAAAACCAATCAATTACCTCCTACGATTTGAGAAGAGTTCTGCCATCTTACTCAACTTCTCTGTTTTGTGTCTGCTTTGCCATAGGAAAACAATGATAAAGAAATACAGGAAAATGAAATATAATATCCATGCAATATTTCTACCACACCTTAACAGGTAAACTACTTTTGTATAAGTCTATACAGCTGAATTTTCAGACCATCTAAGCAGCCAGGTTAATCTCCCAGCTTTTTCATTAGGGCAACCTGATTTATTTGTTTAGCAGGTCCACATACCATTTAGCTCCATGCTTTAGTCTAAATATCTATGAATGCTTGTATAGTCATGTCAGTGATAAATGAACCAGTAGAATACAAAATCTTCAACAACAACAAAGCCTCTTCTATTTTCAGTCCTCAATTTAATAACAGTTGCACCTGGTATTTTAAGCTTCCCATTTGCTTAATTTAATGTTTATGTTTAATTTCATGTTTAATTTTTACTTAACATGAATCCCAAGATATGTTATGAAATTTGAGTGAAAAGGAGCTTCAGATTTCACTATGTTTTTGAAATGCAGAAAATATTAAACAGAAGGAGACTTCATTAAAAACTGCAAGATACGAGGTGTAGACTGTCTGGAAACAATCATTCTGCTTGGTCCTTTCCTTCTCTCAGGTCCAACTTTCTCTCCTGTATAACTCAATACATGATTATGCTTTGCAAGTGCTCTTCTCCTCCCGTGAAGACTACAGAGGGTTACTGTGTCCAAAGGCAAGAACAGGCAAAATAACCGTATGTGACAGCACAATGATATACACATTTTTTTTAATTCTTGAGTTTATGCAGTATATAACAAAGTCAATAAAAACATTCCCCCCAAAATAACACAGATATAATGAATTCATACAAGACTCTAAATGATCTGAAAACACCACAGGGATTATATTTAAAACATGCAGCTTTAATTTAAATTAGATGTTCTACGTATAGTGCTGGTTAAAACATAGATTCCCTAATTTTTAAATAAATAACATGAAGGGCAACTATGACAACAATTAGCACAATGGTTGCACCAGTACCATCAGTGTTCAGAGCCTGCATGTGCACAGCTCTATGAAATGCCTTACCTGGAGTCCCATTCACTGAATGGCCTTTTTGCTGAGTCTGCCAACATGACAATAAGAGAGATGTGCCAGGGCAATGAAAGATGCAGAGTCAAGCTTACCAAGGAAGGACTAAATTCATTTCTACCTGCTCATTACATGCTTCCTTGGAGTCCGTAACATCCAGCCAGCATCACCACTACATGAATATGTACTGATTAAACCAAGACTACAATCTTCTATAATCCATTGGCAAAAAAACCCCAAACAAACCTTTTCCAAAATCAGATACATTATTATTAAGCAAACAATCAGTTGCTTTTGCACTATACATATGCAAAAATATGACTCTAAGATCTGATCCCTACCCAGTCTAATTCCCTTAACAGTTATTATATTATACCTGAATTACACTGTCCTGAAGATGACTGAGTTTCTTGTAAAATCTACAGACATGAAAATGTAGTATCACAAAAGAGCCAAACTCACAAAGGTGCCATTGCTACCCCACGTCACACCACGACTGCTGCTGTGTGGGCACGCACAGCCCACAGAGGTTCTGTACTCCACACCAACCTTACAGCTTCAGCAAAAGCATCAGCCTTGCAATAGAAAGTGTTCCAGCGGCTGGTAGGCACTGATATTCATCTATATTCCAGATTCAAATGGGAAAAGTCTAGCTTGCCCCTGCGTGAGCAGTCATACCAGGGAAAAACCTGGCCTCCATCCATAGAAAGGGACCATTTAGTCAATTCACACCAACAGCAGAAAACAGAGCCAGATCCAGCCTTAACAGCTAACACACTCATATTTTAATAACAGATTGTAAATAACACAACAACACTTTTCCTATCAACAGCAGTTTCAATTCCAGAAGCTTAATACAACTTGCTTTAAATCTGTGCCATAGCAACCTTTATTAAAGTCAATGTCATCTGTAAGGACTGAGTTAAAATAAAATGTGGGCCAAATTTATCAGACATTAGTTCCCTTTGATACAGAGCTCAGAACACTGACTGTATGTCACCCTAGATATGAGTTGCATACATTGCAACCAGCAACATATTTTAAACCAGGCCTCTCCAAAATACTTTCCCTGATCATTTGTTTTGAGTATTTGTCTGAGATGGTGAAGGTCAAATGAAAAGAGTGAAAGGTTTCTTTCTGTTTACATCAAATTTATATCCATATGCTAGAAAATGCAGCACTATTCAGGCCTAGGAGAGAAGCCTCAAGAGTTTATTAAAATATGACAGTGTTTTAGCTGGTCAATTTAAAGGCACATCCAAGGGACAACAGAAGAGACCATTCCCTCTGGCTGTGGGAGCTGTGTATGCCCATGTAGCCATGAATATCACTGTGTGTGCAAGACACTGACCATGAACGAGGAACTTACTGTGACAGAACTACAGCAAAAGTAGTCAACAATTTATCCTTTTATTTTCAGCACTGGCTCATAGGGCACGCTGCATCTTTATGTCAGATAGGTACCGAACGAGTCTCCAGAAAGCGCTTAGAACAGACATGTTCCTACAACCTCCAGGGTAAGCGTAGGGGTAGTGAGCTTTTTTAATTTAGATTATGTAAGGTCGTGTGCTTCGCTGCATTATGTTTTATATACACGTTATATCTCACTGCACTACATTGCACCCTGTGAGCTCCTAATGAGCGTTATCCCCACAAATCCAGGCAGTACCCTTTCGTAGCTGTTTCAGAAGAACAAATATCATATGTACATCTAATAGTTACCGAATGAGGTCAATCCTCCCAAATGTCCTGACATGGTCTAAGAAACACAGAAGGACATCCCACCTGCCCGAATCGGCCTCTTGCCCAAGCAGCACCGAACCACCCGGCCAGGGAACAGGCTCCTTGTAGAGGCTGAATGCAGGCTGCTCCGCGAATGCAGGAGCGAAGCGAGTCTGCAATGCAGAAGCCCTTCCCGGAGCTCATCAATGAGCCGGGGGAGACGGGGCGGGGGCAGAGCCGACAGCCCTACCCGCATCCCCGCCACGACACCCCGAGGCACGGGGCGTTTCTGAACGCCCGGCTTTGCCCTCACGGGCAGCGGCCGAGGGCGCTGCCCTCAGGCTGTCCGCCCGCAGCTCCGCGCAGCGGGAACTCCTGCGGCCGGGGCGCCGCGAGCAAGGACACGGCAGCGCCGGGCCCACCTGTGCCAATGACACCGGCCCGCCCGCAGCCCGGCCGCGGGAGGAGGAGTAGCAGCTCTTACCTGCTCCCGCTGCTCCTCCCGCAAGCCCTCACTAACCGAGCTCCATCTTCCTCCGGCCGGGAGGGGGAAGGGGGGGAGGGAGTCAACCCAGCGCTGCCGTCCCCCCCCAGCTGCCGCTTTCCGTCACCGCTGTCCCCCGCCCGCGCTGCCCGGCGCAGCGGCCGCCTCTCGCCCGCCCTGCAGACGGCACCGGGAGACGGAAAGCGAGACCCACCTCCCGCCGCCGCCGCCTCCTTCTCATGAAGTCACCGGCCGCAGGGCCCTCCCTCCCCTGGCTGCCCGCAGCGGCCCGGGGAGCCGCGCTCCGCCCCGCTCCGCCCCGGTGGGGAGCGCGGGGCCAGACGGGGCTCGTAGTCTCTCCCGCGGCCGCGGGCGACGAGGGGCGCGGCCGCATCGAGGCACTACGTTCCCCGGCGTGCAGCGGGACGGGGAATATAAGTGGCTAGCGGCGAGCGCGCTTCAGTCAGTCCGCCCGACCGAACAGTGCCTTCGCCGCTGGGGCCAGGCAGCCGCGGCTGAGCGCGGCGGGAGCCCCGGGCAGCGGACGCGCTTGCCGGCCACCGCCGCCCCCGGCGGAGGGGCTGGCGGGGGAACGGGCGCTCGCACGCCGCGAGCATGTGGATACCCACGGAGCACGAGAAGTACGGCGTGGGTGAGTGGAAGAGAAGGCGAGCGGGGCAGCGTCCGCTCCGCCCCCGCGGCAGCCGCGCCGAGCCCCCGGCACAGCCCTGCCCGGGGCCGCCCGCGGGGCCGCCGCCTTCCTCCTTCCCTCGACGGCCCTGGGCCAGCGTGGCCTCGGCGCTCCTGGACGATGCCGGCGGCAGAGCAGGGCCCGGAGCGGCCCCAGCCGCCCCTGCACCACGAGCGCTCCTCCGCCCCGCGGTGTCCCGCGGCAGGGGGAGATGATGGGAAGCGTCGCTTCCTTTCCGTTTCCATCCTCGTTCTGGAAATCACCGTGCCCGGTTTTGCCCACTGCAAAGTGGGGTACGTTACAGTAAGTTACTGCTTTAGATGTGCCTTCTATTTCGATATGAAAGTCTACTTCAGGTTACAGTAACTTCTCAACTAACCTGGTTCCAGCTATTCCAGTGTGCACACAGGTGTGTTCTGTCTCACTCGGTTAAATCTTCCTCCCCCAGACCAAAGCAGTCTTTCACTGTTACTCTTCCAATAACATTAGAGTTGAAAAGGAAATTGATTAAGGATTACACCTCTAGAACTAAACACTCAGTTTTTTCACTTAATATGATAAAACTGGAAACATGCAAGACTAAGAAGGCAAAATATGTGGGCCTCCTTATCTAGAAACACCAAGAATTCTCACCTAAAATCAGCCTACTACAGATGATGTGCAATCAGTGACAGATACAGCAACCCTGAATCAGTAAGAAACACCAGCTGTAAACAGTGAAATACATTTTGCACCAACACATCCAGAGAAGTACATTTGGTGACACATGAAGACAGTTTTGCAGATATGCATTTTGGTATCATAAGCAAGTGAGGGTTGATGGTTAGGGAAAAAAACCTGATCTAGTTCTCTGATAGAACTCCCAACATCAGTTTAGAATATCGTTGAAAGTCCCAAAAGAATCTCATTTTACCTTTGAAAAATATTTCCTTCTGCAGCTAATGTGAAAAAAACAGGACAGGAAAAAACCGTTTGAAAAAGTTCCCAACAGTTGTACATATAACCTTTTGCTGCAAATGCACTGAGCTATTAGCTTTTGGCAAACCATGACAGGCAAAAACCAAAACAGTTTTGTCCAATACTGTTTTGGCCCTGCACAAAATGAACTCTGATTGTTTGCCCCTGACATTCTCTATTCTCCTTAGAGAATTTTTTTATGCTCATGATTAAAGATTACTTCATCCCAAAACAAAAAAACCCAATGAGCAGAACAGTTCCTTGGTTTCTTCACCAGCCCAGCATTCTTTAAAAGCGGCAAAAAAAAAAAAATTGTGAAGTATATGGATAACACACCCAAAAACAACCATAATTACAGAAAGACATACTTTTATCCTTTACGTGCCTCTCTGTACAGATTGTCCTACAGGTGATTCCCAGCCCGGAAGAGTTCTGTCGGTAAAAGAAAGAACAGTTTATCAGAGTTTTGTTGAAAGCTCTAGTCCATTTGCCTTGCAAAGGAAATTAATTAGTGAATATGTGACCCTCAGGTGGCTGCTCTAGATCTCCCAGGACTGAAAATACTCTAAAAGTTGTCAGAGAAGCTATGTAGCGCCAGATATTCGAACACAGTGTGATGTGAAGGCTCTCGTTGGCCACGTGGTGACACAGAGCTGGGGACTCATTTAGATGGTCACTGCAAAGGGCGTGGCCAGCTGTCTGTCAAGCAAAGCCACAGATGCCAGCAAAAGTCTGAGCGGCTTAGCAAAGGAAAGGGTGGCCAGGTACATGCAAGAAGAGGCTATCCTTTGAGTCCTGAAAGTTCCTCATTCTTCATCTTTTCTTCCTACAAGCAAAACTTTCTTTATGCCACCATTATGGGAAAACAAACATGTATCTAACAAAGTCCCAGATGAAGTGTGAAAATGCAGAGATGCTAGATTTAGATGAAGTATACTTTGGGGCCATTATATTCTGCCTCCATGGAAGTGATAGTATCTCACAGTATTTCACAGGAAAGAGTTATTTTGTAGAAACTTATAAAAACACAGAATTCATAACATTTAGCAGATAAAATGAGCTTAAATGAAAATCTGCTGAATCCTAAGCTTGGGGAATGGGGTTTCCTCCACAACATTTGCTGTATATCTCCTTGACATACTTTGATGTTTTCTTCATCCATCATACTTTTTTCTTTAGCCTGTCCATATTTCTACGCCTCACTGAATGCAGGAAGTTCTTTAGAGGACCACAGATGTGCTGCAGCTAAGAAAAATATATAAATACATTCAGAACTACACCAGAAAGGAAAAAAAAAAAAAAAAAAAAAAAAAAAAAGTGGAAGGAGGTATCTAATCAGGCTTCATTGGTCTGTTAGGTATTTTGCCTCTATAAAACAACTTTGTTTCTATTCCCTGTCTTTCGTCTTTAATATAATGAAGCATCACTTTAATCTCCCTCTTCAGAACACAAAGAAACTGGGGCAAAGCTGTTGAAGAGGAGGTATATACCACAACTTAAACTATCCAACAGAAATGCAAATTGGATCCCTTTCCATTGCAACTGATACTGAATGCAAATGGTAAGCACAACTTACAGTGCTCTTATTTCTGCTAATACCTGTCACAGCTGAGATGGCCATGATACACAGAGTATCATCATATAATTCCAGAAAGCCTCAACCCACACAGAGTAACACCATGCTACTGCAGAAGGCTGCAAGCATCTGCCATTCTTTAGCCCAACCTTTTACACCCCTCATGTGCACACACTGCCCCTGTGTGCCTCTGCTCCCTTTGGTGTTTGGTCAGTGCCCTGGGCACTCCATGGCTCATTGCTGCCAGTGCTGCTCACCTGCTGCTCACAGCTGTGCCCACTGGGGACAAGGGCCACAGCCCCACTCCCAATCACCCCAAACACCCATCTGCAAGACCATTAGAGACTAGATGCAAATAGACAGACGACAGTTTCATCTTGCAGGGTAAGGTAAGGAGATATTTATGCTTAGATTCCAACAGAAAGTTTTTCAGGAACTCTAGCTTTGTCTAATTCAGTGAAGACACAACCAACTGTCTCCAAGAAACTCTAGTCATCTTTCGTGGTTGCTACAGGAAAAATAGCTCAGCTCTTAGTGATACTTTGATGGTAGGTCTGAAGCACCTGGAAAGTTTCTAATGAAATACCTCTTAATAAGAACTATTATTCTATTTTAACACACAATATCCACAAAAAAATATTTCCTTGAAGGTTCAGGAAGAATCTTTTTTAACTATAGATATAAATTAAAGCTTTGAATAAATAAAACCACAGACACAAGGAGGCCAGTTAAAAAGGCAAGAAGGACATACGTTATGAATACTTCCAAATATTTAACTTGAACTAGAAAGGAGGGGTGTAACTATTTTTTTGGCTGGTTTTGAGTAGTTGTAGCTAGTGGTACGTAAAATTAGGGTTACTATGAGCTGCTGCTTCCCCTCCTTACGTTTATAGAAATCAAATAATCAGAGTCTTTGCTGCTCAGTCCTGCACTGCTTAAAGCACATACGCAGCAGGCCGGACAGAATAGGGCAGGACAAGAAATCAGACTGGTTACCTCTTCTTCCTTCTGACCTGTGAGACTGGGACCAAGAAGGTGTTATTTCCTAATTAACTTGATTTTTAAAGCTCATTATTAAGTGTCACTGAAATCAGCAGCATTTCTTGCCAGCCAATTTCTTTTATGACTTGTTGACTCTGTAAATATCTACTCAACAAGTACACATTTTTCTGTTGGGTCAGCTGGGAAGTTTATTTCTCCTGTCATTACATGAGATTACTATTTTACAGTTAAAGACAGATTGTTATCAGCCTTCAGAAACTTTAAAAATAATACAATATGGTTCCTGACACTCACAAGCAGACTGATAAATGCCACCCACACAATTAGCAACACATTTTTTTTATGCAGCATGCAAGAAGATTTGTTCTACAGATGTTTTGGAGTTAATTCTGCAGTGAAACCTGGTACAGAACGGAATCACCATGGCATGACACTTCTCCACTGAAACTTGCAGCAAATATGCAATGCCTTTGCAGTTTACTGTAGAGAAAAGTAGATCTGGAAGTTGTTTGGCACAAACAAAGGTGACATGACATTCCAATTAAATTTTTTTTATTTCTTATTTCTAAATCAAGTTGAGTAGCTAAAAGATCAACACTACATGCTTAAGGAACACAGTAAGCATTCCTGATTTAAATAATATGGGAAAGTTTTGCTTTGTGAGGGTGACCACACTTTTGGCTGATATTTCAGGAGTGGAGTAAACTTCCTAATCCAGTGGATCTCCATGAACAGAGAGTTCTTTCAGTACAAAATTTAGAACTTGTAGAAGAAGATAACTGCCTATGTGCTATGACTGAGCACTTGGAACAGTCAGTTCTGGATATGGACAATAATCCAGTAATGAGGATCATCTCAGCTTTGTTTAATAGAGCATTACCATATTACTGGGAAACAGGGGACTTGTTCATCTACCAGATAAACCAACAGTAGTGAAAGAACATCCCTGAGCATTCCTGACTCCTCCTGAATTG